TATTAAATACTGTGATTAGGGCTTGTGGTCTGCCACTGCATGAGCTCGCTAATACTATAGTCGAGAGGCATATAAATTCCTGTACGAAATGGGCAAAGGCTATAATGTCAGAACCTCTGCACCCCTTTTATTCACACCTGTCCCGTTGTATCTCATAAGATAGGACGAGAAGTCAATATAAAAAGTTATATGCTCGTACCACTAAGTATAGAAATTCTACAATACCCTATTTAGCCCGTACTTTATGTGATGAAGACTCTGTTAGACGTGAAACTTACAAGTTACTATGTAATTAGCACAGTGAATCGACCCTTTTTATCGTTCATCTTTCTGTATTTTATGGTGTCACACTTTCTATCGTTTAATTACTACTCTGCTATTTTATTTTATTTGGTATTACTATTCTTACTACAGTTTTATACTTTATGCATATTTTTCTCCTTATTGCATACAGTATTTTGCTACATAGCTGCTATAACAACGTTTCGTTATAATTATTATGTAATTTTTATTTTTATTTTTTTGTCGTTTTGAGTAAATTGGATGTAATATTGTACTGAATGCTGAAAACTCCTTGCTGTAAAATTAGTACTGATTTTTGAAATAAAGCAAATTATCATTATCAGAAGATGTGACAATAATAAGACTGTATGGGTAACAAACATATTTTGAGACAGGAAGTTTGTTCTATCCCGCCCTCCCTCCCTCTAAACCACTTTTCCAAAGAGAGTTTAATGTGACGTACAGTAAAGAGATTCTCGCATGAACAGTAAGTAATACGAAGTAATCCAAGTAACTGGGTATGCTTGATTTTCTGTGGCATACACCTTTGTTGTTTTTACTGTGACGTGTCTTTTGAAAGAGATGATGGATGAGTCTGTGAATAAGGGATGCGAGTTAATAAATATTTTCACTCATAGCATTGTCCTATTCACAATCGCACTTGAAACGATTTTCCTGATACAACAATATGAGAACCATTCTCCCATCATAATTATTTATTATTATTATACCCCTAAATTCCTAGAGGAACATAGGGCTTCAGCTGCGCGTCTCCATAGCCTTCATTTTTCTACCAACATTTCACCCCGCTCCAAGTCTGCCCACATGCTTTCATCTCCTCTTCACATCACCTCCTCCAAGTTACCCCACCCACACACTGACGACCAACCCGCCAGTTCCTTTTTGGGTTCCACTCGAGAGATGGCTTGTCTAGTGATGTCGTTTGATGGTTTTCTCAGAGAATGGCCAGCCAATCCACCTTACTCCATTTCTTCCTCTCTATCTGTTTCACAATCGGTTCTTGCTGGGTTGGTTCACTGATTGCCAGAGATCTCTCCCTGTTGGCGATCTTTTCTTCCTGGCCATCTGATCTTGAGTATTGAGCGAAGACAGATGTTAATGAAGGTGTGTAGTTTGTTTGAGATGCTCTTTATGACACACTGGCCAAGTCTCTGATCCGTTTATTAAGTAGCACTGACTTCACACTGGAGTTGAAAATCCGGATGTTATTTTTGATGTTGAGTGCTGAGTGTTGACCTCCTGCACACAGACTTGAGAGTAATGAAAGTTTGTCTTGCTTTTCCGATTCTGTCTTTGATATGCTCATCAGTTCCGTCTGCCTGTAGTTGAAGCGATGCTTCCTCTCGCATCATTAGTGTGATATGATCAGGGAGATTTTCAACAATTCGATTCAAAGTCTTTAATGTGTTCGCTTATGTATTTTGATATGTAGCATATAGATTCAAGGAACGACAGTTAAACTCCCTTTGATTTATAATTTTCTGTTAACATTGACTAAAGCAAGTGAGCCAGTCAATTCGTGAAATTTCGAACACCAGATTGCCTACCTTCTTATTCATCAAAAATAAGTTACCAAAAATCATGTCTACAAGATGAGCTTTGTTAATAATAACAATTTCGCTTTTATTCCAGAAACAGTCCTAGTGGTATAGTGTGGAATTTTCAGCAATTATCAACAATATTGCATTTAATTTCATCGCACATTTAAAATGAGTATTTCGAAAATTAAAAACAAAAAAAAAACAAAAAAAATGCAAAATATCAAGTAGAAAGGAAGATAAACACCAGTATTGGGTAGTGGAAGCTATGATATGTGTATGCGTGGTGAACAGTAACAGCTATAATCATACAAGAAATTATTGAGATGTTCCTAAGAATGTTTGTCGCCAAGATGATCAGTTAATTTGATTGAACAACACCAAACAATCATCAAATAAACATTTCAGGGTTTTTTATTTTTATTGTCAGCTCTAATGCGGTGTTTGTAGTGGTAGTGTGAGTAATCCTGCATAATACAAAATTTTTAGGATGGTGATAATGGCGTTCACAACCAAGATTGTCAGTTAAATAGTCCCGAAGAAAAAACAACCACAAAACTAATATTACATGAAAGTTATTGGCAGGACAATTTTGTAATACTCATAGTGATAATATAGTCGGAACCAGTAGATACACAAAAGAAGGAATAGAATAAATAATAAAAAAGTAAGCCAATGTTAATAATTTTAGGTAGCGAAGTACGTTTAAGAAGGTTGTTCACTATAGAGCACAAATAAGAGAGTGTAAGGGGGAAATGAAAAGTGCCAAAATTATGTTATTAACAACAAAGCAAGTCATAGGTTTCGCGCTCAACACTGTCTCGTCTCTGTCACTTAGAACACGGACTGGCCAAATATGGTATCGTTGGGTTTCTATACTTGGTTGTACGAGCATATATTATTTTGTACTGATTTCTGGTTCTACCTGATGAGATACAAGGAGAGAGTTGGGAATATCGGGGTGTTGGTGGGTCGGAGAGTATGCTTTAGACCATTTTTCGCATGTATCCAGATGCCTTTCTACTAATGTAGTGACGAGCTGACTGAGTTTTACACCAACCACTAGTCCTACTAACTACCTTCAACATCCTTCTCAGGATGGTATAGTCCTTTTTCAGTAGCCCAGGAAAGACTAACGGGGAACAGTAAAGTAGAATAGGTAAGATACGAGAGTTGACAAATTGTGAGGGCAAAGATTGGGTGATTCCAGATAGTCGAAGTTTCTTAATGTAGTAGGCTAGACGGAACACTTTCTTAGAAATCGTTAGGATATGAGACGACCAAGTAAGTTCGGAAGGTAGAACTAGTCTGAGGTATTTTACATTAATCTTAGTTTCAATTTTAGTCCCCTCATGAGTACTTGCTAGTGTTTGTAGATCTCGTTTATGCCTAAAGAAGAAGTCAATAGTCTAGCATTTTGAGAGATTTAGCATGAAGCCATTTAGTTTAGACCACTGACTGATGTCCGACAGGAAGCTGTTTAATTTATCTGTGTATGCGAGGAGATTGCTGCAAACCGAAAAGCCCCGCCCCCTAACAAATACTGACAGAAATATTTGTTAAGTGCAGGCGGATATCTGCTGTTCGGCTTCAAAAAATTACTTTGTCCAGTCGACAGTTCGCATCTCACTATCATCAAGTAAATGAGAAAAGAATTCCCCAGTTAGAATGCACCCTTTGCCGTCCATTAAAAGCGTTTTGGTTTGCTTTATACAATCACATAACAGATAGACGACTATTAGCAAAATCTCTGGACACTATTCATCAGTGATAACATTTATCTAGTGAAGCTGTCTTCCCTTTGCTGATCCACTTGAATTATGCAGAAATATATACATAAGTAAAAACACAGTTTTTGTTTTTGTTCAGCGAAGAAATTTCTTTTCAACGACTTCATTTTCAAGCCAACTGTACAGTTGTATTTATATTACAGAAAAAGGGGTTATTAAGTGGCACTAAATAATTAACTGCTCAGTTAATATACATATATTTGTGAAACAAGTTATAAGGGGAAGAGTTGAAGTGGATAAATTACAAAAATATTAAAGGTTGTTTTATAACCAAAATGTCAAGTGTTGTCTAAAAATTTTAAAAAATAAGGAGTACGATTACGATAAGAATGAAGATGTGAAGTGAAGTGGAAAGAATTCAGGTGGTAAAATAAAATAGAATAAAATAAAAACTAGAAAGAACATCACTATGACCAAGGTAAAGAAAGGGGTTTGACAAAACGCTTCTGAACACATAATTTAGGTTTCTGTTCATGTATAGATAAAGCTTCGGCTAGTTATGCATCATTGAAGAAAACGTAAACTTTTGGATCGATTCGATTTTGCCATGTAGATAACTTTGAAAGGTGAATCACGTGGGGCTGAATGACCAGATTCTAACAGGTGATCACCAATAGATGATTTCGCAGTTCTACGTTCGCCTTTCATTAACCAAACCGGATAATGTTCAGCAACACATTTTCGGAGATTACGCTTACAACGTCCAATATAATCAGCTCCACAAGAGCAGGTAAATGAGTAAATGCTCATAGATATGGACAAAAACGGTAATCTATCCTTGATGCATTGTCTAATCATATTTCGGCTGGTAAAAACTAGATGCAAGTCAGCTGCATGAAAAGTACGTTTATTACACTTAGATAAACGATTTTTAATCAATTCCGAAATGGTGTCACCTTTGAATGCTAGACTCATAAACAGTTTTTTCTTTGGCACTGTGATTTGTCTAGGGGCGGATTCTTTCTTGATGTTACGTTCAATGAACCTTGTAGGATAACCATTGTTAAGGAGATTTGATCGAAGGTTATCTAGTTCCCTATCGATTGTCTCTGTAGAGCAGATTTTACGAATTCTGGAGCATAAGGAATGAATAAGATTTCTCTTTCTCCCTAAAGGTACCCAACTGTTGAAGTTAGTGTACTGTCCAGTCAATGTTGGCTTTTGGTGAATCGACCATAACAACAATTATCTAGTGCCACTCACTTAATAACCTTTTTCTGTAATATAAATTCGACTGTACAGCTTGAAAATGAAGTTGTTGAAATGAAATTTCTTCGCTGAACAAAAAAACTGTGTTTTTACTTATGAATAAATGGGTATTTTTCATGATTAGAAATATATACGTAGAAAGATCAAGTAAAAAAAACGATCAATTGTGCAATATTGTTATTTATCAGTTAACTTTGAGAAACATACATACCAAATATTTGAGATTACAGAAGCCAACATGACATGTTATAAGCGAAATTTAAAAAAATGGTTTGTACCAATTTATTGTGTAATAGAAAAAAGGCAGCAAAGGTTTTCTTCTTCTTCTTCGACATGATCCAAGAGACTGAGTTATTCTGTTACTGCAACATGAAGATGGGCTGAATCAACGTCTAAGTGGATTCACAAAATTCACAAAAACAAGATTTCGAGGTTCATTAAGACAAAAAAACAACATGAAATTTATTGAAACATTCAAAAAAATTTAAAAGATGTGCCACATATATGTTAGATAAGTAAATCATTTACTGAGAAAATACAAGTGTAAAATACAGCGAGAGAAATCCAGAATGTGAAATGTATATTATGAGTTCAGTGGACCGAAAAACGCGAACATTAAAAGTGATCTGGAAATCGTGAAACTAAATCGTAAGAAAAAGAAATTTTTATTACAATTCTATCTTTTAATTCCTAGAGGAATATAAGGCTTCAACCAAACGTCTCCATTGCCTTCGATTTTCTGCCAAATTTTTCTCACCACTCCAAGTCTCCCCATACGCTTTCATTTCCTTATCACACCACCTCCTCCAAGTCACCCCACCCTCACACTGACGACCAACCCGCCAGTTCCATTTCGGGTTCCACTCGAACAATGGCTTGTCTAGTGATGTCACTTGATGGTTTGTTTCCTCAGAGTATGACCAGCCAATCCACCTTACTCCATTTCTTCCTGCCTATTTGTTTCACAGTCGGTTCCTGGTTGGTTTGCTCATTGCCAGAGATCTCTCCCTGTTGGCGATCTTTTCTTCCTGGCCATCTGATCTTGAGTATTGAGCGAAGACAACTGTTAATGAAGGTGTGTAGTTTGTTTGAGATGCTCTTTATGACAAACTGACCAAGTCTCTGATCCGTGTGGTAAGTAGCACTGACTTCACATTGGAGTTGAAAATCCGGATCTTACTTTTGATGCTGAGTAGTGTTGTTGACCTCCTGCACACAGACTTGAGAGTAATGAAAGCTTGTCTTGCTTTTCCGATTCTGGCTTTGATATGCTCATCAGTTCCGTCTGCCTGTAGTTGAAACGATGCTTCTTTCAGATTCCTCCCATTTATACTGATTGGTGTCTGCTTCTGTTGGCCAGGAATCTTCATCACCTCTGTTTTATCTTTGTTCACCTGAAGTCATATCTTTGATGATTCTTCTGCCAACTTGTTACTTTTCACTTGCATATCTTCCGGTTTGGGGGAAATCACACACATATATATAATCGGCGAAGTCCAGATCCTTCAAGTCTCTTCTTGTGTGAGTCCATTTTATGCCTGTTTCCTCATTGTTTGTTGTCTGTCGCATTATCCAGTCCACTGCAATCAGGAAAATCATTGGGGATAGTAGACAGCCTTGCCTCACTCCCGTCCTCACTTCGAAGGCTTTCGTAATTTTCCCGTTGTGGAAAGTGATCTGGAAATCGTGAAACTAAATCGTAAAAAAAGAAATGAACCTAATAAAAAATTAACCATGAAAAATCACAAAAAGGGCAACAGTCAGTGCGTCGGTGGCACAGTGGTTAGGACTCTCACCGTCCACGCACATGATCCGGGGTTCGATCCAACGCTGACGCACAACTGATATCTAAGGTCGGCCTGCAAAATTTAGGCTATCGATATCCACGCTGAAAATTCCATACTTGTACCAAAAATACAGTGTGGAATCAACCTGTAATCAAAATAAATAAATAAATAAACTCACCATTAAGAACATTCAAACCGAATTGAACTAAATCCAATAGACTGGGAAATTTCAAAATGGGTTAGAAAATAGGCGTGATGTTAAGTCTGCGATAGTGAACCACATGAAAATTATTCATCACTGACTGCAACCGTGTCTGACAGTATGCTAACCAAGCAATTCAACACTGATTTCTGCTCACACCATATAGATATGATAGAGAAGATTTGTAGCTCAGGTGGATAATTTTGATGTGGTTTTGTTCTCTGAGCTGGATAGTTAGTTTGCGAAGCTTTCATCACCTTACTGGGTGACATCTTCAGCGCATACTTCAAATTGAAGTGAGCTTTTAGGTTTCTCCACGGGTTTATTAATCATTCCTCCTGGTGACCTTGGATGTGATTGGTTGTTTATGTATGTTTTCACACCTTCTAGGTTACTTGTGTTGGAACTGGTTGTTTCTGTGACTTGAACTTTGGCCAATCGTGTGTGAAGTTTTTTTCTTATTGGTTGATAAATTTTGTCTATCTCGATGTGTCTATTGATTGATGATTCACTGGAATGCCAGGCGGGCTTCTAAAAATTCTCTAGCATTCTTGTTATTTCCTTTGTCTAATATTTGAACGTTGTCCCAGTCGAATTGATGTCCGTGGTTGTCTGTGTGTAGTGAAATGAGGGAGTGTACATCATGTCTTTTGACGGCTAGCTTATGTTCGTGGATACGAAGACGAAGGGGACGTCCACTTTGGCCAATGTAGTGTTTTTCACAGTTGTTACAGTTTATTTTGTAGATGATGTTGGTTTTGTCTTCTTTTGCTGTTGAGTCTTTTGGTTGACATAGAATTGAGTGCAGCGACTTTGTTGGTTTGTGTACGACGTCAATTCCTAAAGGTTTGAAGAGTCTTGTAGTGATTTCTGAGATATCCTTTATATATGGTAAGGCGATTTTCTTTGTGTTTTCCTTGGTGGCTTTTGTTTTGGTAGGTTGGCTTGGGGGTATATGTCTCTTGATGAAATTCCGGGGATATCCAAAAGACTCAACAGCGAAAGAAGACAAAACCAACATCATCTACAAAATAAACTGTAACAACTGTGAAAAACACTACATTGGCCAAAGTGGACGTCCCCTTCGTCTTCGTATCCACGAACATAAGCTAGCCGTCAAAAGACATGATGTACACTCCCTCATTTCACTACACACAGACAACCACGGACATCAATTCGACTGGGACAACGTTCAAATATTAGACAAAGGAAATAACAAGAATGCTAGAGAATTTTTAGAAGCTTGGCATTCCAGTGAATCATCAATCAATAGACACATCGAGATAGACAAAATTTATCAACCAATAAGAAAAAAACTTCACACACGATTGGCCAAAGTTCAAGTCACAGAAACAACCAGTTCCAACACAAGTAACCTAGAAGGTGTGAAAACATACATAAACAACCAATCACATCCAAGGTCACCAGGAGGAATGATTAATAAACCCGTGGAGAAACCTAAAAGCTCACTTCATTTTGAAGTATGCGCTGAAGATGTCACCCAGTAAGGTGATGAAAGCTTCGCAAACTAACTATCCAGCTCAGAGAACAAAACCACATCAAAAAAGCTCACACCATATGGTTGATACTTTTGAATTCTGGTCTCCACTGTATTGGCTTCCACAAGTCGCCTGAAATACATACAGTCTACTGAGAGATCGTTATTGTTTCCATTTACTCGTGTCAGTCAGTATTCATCAATTTATTTATGTCACATGGGTTGAAACATTCTCTCGTGAATGTGACTTGACTCTCTGTAATATTGTTATAATGTGTATTTGGTCAACACCTTTTGATTTTTCTAACTTAAAACCCTTGTGTAATTCTGTATATTATCTTGTTTCCATGTACACCCTTTGAGCACAACTCATTCATCAAACTATTCATGCTATTACGTAACTCTTATTTAACAATCATTTATGACAACTCATCACTTTTCTTACTATCCTCTTATATGAACATCCAATTCACCTGAACTTACTCCTCTTTAACAATCGTTTTTGACAATTCATCACTTTTGTCGCTGTCCTCTTATCAACATTTTGATAGAACAGACTTTGATACTGTATTCATTGGGTTGAAAGAACATTTTGACTTAATTTCAATATGATGAAATTATCATTTGTGCATATGTTGAGAAATGTGCACAAAAGTTCATCCTGAATATTTTCGTTTTATCAGCTGTATATTTGTGTAATTGCATTGTGATACTTGTTTACTCATACTTTCTTTCACCAAGAGTTTGTCGGTTGTTATCCACAATGACTTTGTTGAGTATGAATTATTCGGATGCAAGCCAAGCTAAACTTCCGACACCACCAATTACCAATCAGCGAACGACGTCGAATTATCCAATGAGATTTACGAACCTAGTTCAATGTTTTAGAGCGCTTGATTCATTTCTAATGCATGACCTTACAAGGTTACGGTTGCAATTCGAGGAGGACAGTGTTTTCCAGTATTGCCTGGATTTTGGGTTGCTCCGAAAGGAGTGAACTTGTTCGTGTGTTGGTATCATAACTTTAAGAAGCTACAGCAGATCAACTGATGGATTTGTTCATCGTTGTGCTATGTGTTTGAAGCATACTAACATTGGAGAGGGTAAGCTGATAATTTTAATATTTCGTAGGAACTTTGTTCCCTAGTTCGAATCTCTCCCTAACCCAGATTTTGTATATCTGCAACTACTGGGTGTTGAAACAGCCGGTGAGAGCAGCAGCTGCCGAGACGGAGAATGGCCTCCTCTCAACAGTTCAGCGGTACCAGAATTGCAGAGATATTGCTTCGTGTAAAATAGAGAAAATCACTTGTTTGCTGAGTGGATCCCGTTACGAAGACTCATACAAATTCCATTGAAGGGTTTTGAGGCCACCTGAAAAACAGGATAAAGGCTATAAATGGATCTCAAACGGATCTCATTTATAGTCATTTAGATAAATATATGTACAGGATGTGGTGTGACTTCTTCATTGACAGTCCCATGCTAAACTGGGAGATGTTTCTCTCACATGTTCGAGAAAGATACCCCTTGTTACCATTTTATCCTTTTTTATGCTTTTTCCTATAAATATACGTTTCCATTTACCATAAATGCCTCTTTAATCTGATTGGTCCTGTTAAGGTCGTTCGCTGATTGGTTGTTAGTGGTGTCGAAAGTTTAACTTTGCCCGGATGTATGTTCACACACCATGTGAAACTAGGCACTACACTGTCACTTTCTAGTCATTATAACTGTTATCTGATATTGTCGACAATCTGGAGATTGTCAGTTTTCATCTCAGCAATAAAATATCAAATAATGAACTTACAAAATTTACCAAGTGGGCGATCATTGGCTACAAAATAGGGAATTAGAATGAATGAATGAAATTACATGAAATTACACAGATTCGGTAGAAGATATTAAGTTTAGCAAGCTTACGAAGTACTTGCCACTACTATATACGTTCTCTGTGACGATATAATCAGAGAGCGAATATCATTTCTTCGCAATACTACTACTAGTTTGTGTCATTGCACACCGCTCCCAACAAATCTCATACAACATTGGAAAACCACATCCAAAGGACCTTAAACAAGCTCACCAAAACTGGACAGATCACAAGACAAAACCAATGGCGAATGAAATCCAACGGACCATTTCTACCCCGATTCTACGGCAGACCCAAAATACACTAGCCAAATATCCCGTTACGACCAATTGTATCACTCCCAACATATAGTTTATCCAAAGATTTATACAGAAAACTAGAACACCTAACGGATTCTTGTGATCACTTCATCAACTCTGCTATGCAATTCCTGGAGAAAATTAGAGGCATCCAAAATAGGTGAACAAGAAATAATGATAACCTGTGACGTCACAGTATTATATACATGAATCGGGCAGAAACTAGCAAAAGAAACCATGGAGCAATTACTTAGCAATGATGAACACCTTCCACTACAATCAAAAATGCAACGCACAAGCTGGATGGAATGCATTAACCTATACCTAACAACATACTTCCAATTCAACGGCCAAATATATGAACAAGTCAAAGGAACACCCATGGGATCGCCAATATCACGTTTAATTGCAGAATCAGTGATGCAGGGCTGGAAAACATAATTCTACCAAAGATCAATTCCATTATTTGGATACGTTACGTAGACGACACATTTGTAATAATCAAAAGAAACGAGTTAGATAAAGCCCACAACTTAACAAACAACGTCTTAAATGACATTAAATTCACAAGAGAAGATGAATCCGAGAACCGAATCCCATTTTTGGACGTCTTAGTCAAGCGAACAACCACATGGGGAATTAGAAACTCAAGTTCATTAGAAATCAACTCACACAGATCAAATCCTGAATTACAACAGCAACAATCCAATAACACAAAACAAATCGCATACAAACACTATTCAAGAGGGCCAGCCAGGACTCATTGCAGTACTGCCACCCAAAGGAATATTAAAGAAAAGTATCTCATGGAAGTCTTCCAAAAGAATGGATATCCACGGAATTTCATCAAAAGACATATAACCCCAAGCCAACCTATAAAACCGAAAGTCCCCGAGGAAAGCACAAAGAAAATCGCCTTACCATAAATAAAGGATATCTCAGAAATCATTACAAGACTCTTCAAACATTTAAGAATTGACGTCACACACAAACCAACAAGATCACTTCACTCGGCTAACCCTATATCAACCAAAAGACTCAACAGCGAAACCAGATAAGACCGACGTGGTCTACATAATAAATTGTAACAACTACGAAGAACACTACAATGGCCAAAGTGGACGTCCTCTCCATCTTCGTATCCATGATCATAAACTAACCGTCAAAAGACATAACGCTAACTGCATCACTCATATCACTACATACAGACAACCACAGACATCAATTCGACTGAGACAACCAACGTTCAGATATTACACAGAAGAAACAACAAGAATGCTAGAGAATTTTTAGAAGCCCGCCTGGCATTCCAGTGAATCATCAATCAATAGACACATCGAGATAGACAAAATACATCAACTGATAAGAAGGAAACCTCACAAACAAATAGTCAAAGTTCAAGTCAAAGAAACAATCAGTCCCAATACAAGCAACATAGAGGGTGTGAAAACACACAAAAACAACCAATCACGACGTTGAAGTTTATACCAGTAGAGATGACTAATAAACTCGTGAAGAAATGTGAAAGCACACTTTAAGTGAAATTGAAGTATGCGATGAAGGTGTCGCCTAGTAGGGCGATGAAAGATTCTCAAATTACCTATCCAGCTCAGTTTTATTAATTTGTTGTGCCTATTCAGATCGGTTCTGTGCACGTAATGAATCTCATTTATGAATGGTGAAATCAAACACTCTGTTCAGAAACAAATACTAACCAATCAAAGAGTCTGTATGATGAATGCACCTGTTTGTAATTAGCATCACTGCATACGACAAAACCGAATGAGCGAGTGGAGATGACCGAATTCGGCAACTATAATCCTGAAATCAACAACGTGATGTCTGAGTTTCAGAAGACGACGAAAATCCAGCAATGATTACAACCTTGAACGACTGTATGCTGACTGTGGAGTGCAACACTGATTTCTGCTCACACCATGTCGTTGTTGCAGTTGAATTCTGGTCTCCACTGTGTATTGCCTCCGCAAGAAGATAACTGAACTGAAACAGGTCTCTCAAGTTGTGTGTTATTCCAACTGGCCAACCACATCAAATTGAGCGTAACTGCATGAATGAGTATACACTTGGAATGGAATATGAAATGTAGCACGAAATGGTTCTTCATTGTTGAAATGTAATCTAGGAAGTGTCAATCCGTATTCGAATAGTTTAATTCATTGTTTTTCTTCTCAAACTTTTCTGGCCTTAGATGTTGCGGCAACTGGCGGGTGGCTCTGTCAGAAACGAAGTAGATAGAACTGAAGTTTAGTCAGTTGTCATACTTCAAAGTGAAGTATGCGCTGAAGATGTCACCCAGTAAGGTGATGAAAGCTTCGCAAATTAACCATCCAGCTCAGAGAACAAAACCACATCAAAATTATCCACCTGAGCTACAAATCTTCTCGACTTTGACCTATGTATTTTGCCTGACAATCATCCCAAGCAGGGTATTAGATAAACTAAATCGTTATGTTTTAAAGGCTCAACAGAATTGATCCTTTAACCAACAAAGCTTGTTTCTAATTGAGTTTGTGGTTGGTTTGAATGTCAGCAACTTTTATTCCTGCCGTGTTAGGAATTCTGTGTACGGTGGTTTCCGAGGTTCCTTCCTTGTATGGAATTACTATTGATGATTTAGATTCCGTATTGTTGGTGTCGTCATTAATATTATTATATTATATATTATTATTATCACTGTTATTGTTATCATTATTATTATCACTATCGCTACTATCATTATTTATTTTATTTTTAAATTTACTTACATATTTCTTGACTAATTGTTAAGTTTCAAGGCTTCTTTTATGTGTATCACTTCCTGTCTTAGATTTTCCTTCGTACTACTTAGTTTTTGTGCTCTATTAGTTAAACATTTCACCAATCTTATTTTTACTGACATAGATTGAGTGGGATGATCGGAAGTCCAAATATCTGTTTGAATGTGTGGGTTTCCTGTAAACACCAGTGTGTGTTTAACTTCCCATCTTCTCTCCTTTTTACGTTGCAATCTAACATCGGGAGCTTCCCTTCTTGACTTCCCAATTCATAGATGAATTGAATTGCCTCCACCTGCCAGTTGATGTGTTCGAAAAATCTATCTATATCTTGTGTTCTGAGTACAGTGAACGTGTCATCCACATACCTCCACCACACTTTTCGGATGGGTGGGGATGAACGTTTCAATCGCTATGCTTTCCCACCTATCCATGAATATATCTGCTACAACCGGGGATATTGGTGATCCCAATGCAACTCCCTCAGTTTGTTTGTATATTTCCCTTTGGAGGAATTTAAATACTGTGGAAGTCAGGCATAGCTGCACTCCCTGCATTATGTCTTCAAGTGGCACTTTTGTCCTAGGTTCGAGTTCTTGGTCAGAAATGAGTTCGTTTCTGACTGCCTGTATAGGCACTAATATCCCCGATTGTAGCAGATATATACATGGATAGATGTGAAAAGATAGCGATAAAGACGCAAGATGATGACATCACCAACAATAAGGAATCTAAATAATTAGTAGTAATTCCATACAAGGAAGGAACCTTGGCAACCTTACGCGGAATGCTTAACAAGGCAGGAATAAAAGCGGCTGACATTCGAAACCACGAACTCTATTATAGACAAGCTTTGTTGGTTAAAGAATCAATCCTCTGGAGTCTTTGAAACAAAACAATTTAGTTTATCTAATGCCCTGCCTTCAATGATTGTCAGGTAAAATACATACGTCAAATTAGTAGAACAGAGCAGTCAAACTGACCGAGCGTAAAAACCTAGCAAAATCTAGATTGATTGACCCGAATAAGATAAGAAATATAGAGAATAGGTGAGCCATACCACTACACGCAGTTTCACACAACCATAGAATAGGATATATGCGATCAGATGACAGTTTTGGAATTTAATGTCACAGGGTATAGGGAGAGATTGATAACAGAAGCTTTGTTTATCGAATCAACTGAGAACCAATACGTGTAATAGGAATGAGTCATCATCTGTCGCTGACATCTGGAAAATTCTACTACCCCAACGATGACAAATAGGAGAGGACAAAGAAAACTATTAAACTCAAGATTCGAAGTCATGTGATTATAATTGATGAAATGACTATGAACAACAAATTTTGTTCGAAACTGTGTCATCCAGTAAATAATACTGTTTCAATGTGTGATACATCTAATAAACAAACTAATATGGAATTACTTACTACCAAAGTGCCCAAGGTTTACACATATATGAAAGTAAGCCATTAAAACAATTCCTTGTAAAATTTTAACATACAGAATCTAAAAAATGTTGCACTACACAACCCGAGAAAAAAAACAACAGCGGGATGACAAGAGATATCATATATTTGTAGACTCACGATAATTCCTGTCTAACTCCACGATGCCTACCAGGAGAGAACAAAGTAAATGGGTTGGAAAATGAAGAAGACATAATACATAGTTTTCAGAAGCAGGGGACAATTTATCATTGCTTACAACCATGCCTGATGGTATACAGACTGAACAATGCAACACTAGTTTCTGCTCACACCATGTGGTTGACGCTGAATTGAATTCTGGTCTCCACTGTATTGGCTCCCACAAGTTGCGCATTATTCCGACTGGCTAACAAGTCCTTTATGGAAGCCATTCGTATACCTGTACACGTTGTTTCAGTTGTCACACTTCTGACTTCTCAAATTTCAAAATACCCTTCACTTATTTGGAAAGTAACATCAGCCAATGCCAAAAGCGCTGATCTCTGACTAAATCTCAGGACAGATACAGGGGGCTCGTTTCTCATTTGCCAGTTTATGCCGTAAACGTTTACGACGAAACTGTGACGTTACAAAGACTGGGGACATGTGTTACGTATGCACGCCTAGTCATCGCCTTCCTCGACGAGCAATGTTAGCGGATATAGGGTCAGGCTGGAAAAAAGCTAGCGGAGATCAAACAAAAACATAGCACCAGTCAATGAAATCCACAACAGTTAGTTTAAGCCACGTCGGAAGATGTAGACTTCCTGACTGGTTGAGGTCCTCGGGATGATAAAAACCAATTGTGTGAAACAATTGGTGACATGGCTCAAACTCATCGTTCTCAATGGCCAGCGAATATGCATCCACTCCTTGTAACTTATGATTTCCAATGAAACTGTTTTGTTCTTCGTTATTACTCTTCCTTTGTCTCACACCTGTGTTTACTGTCTCTATTATGCATTTCTTCTACTTTCTTCTGTTGCTTTGTGTTCTACATGGAGGGATAGTGGCTACTGGAACTGCTGCACGTCTGTTGAAAACAGACAGACAGACAGAAGAAATACGCTCGCTACGTAAGCGATTCGTTATAAAAAATGTCAATATTCACTATTCGCCATACAACATTACACTAAATGACGCGATAGAACATAACATCATGACGACTACAAATACTACACAGTTAGACCCACCATATTTCTCCTCTTCTGTTTCATCGTTCACTAGTGGACGAAATGCAAGATATAGGCAATTGGGTTAGAAAATAGGCATGACGTTAATTCTGCGATAGTGAAGCACACGAAAATTATTCATCACTGATAACAATCGTGTCTGACAGTGTCCTGACCAAGCAATTCAACACTGATTTCTGCTCACACCATGTGGTTGACGCTTTTGAATTCTCATCTCCACTGTATTGGCTTCAACAAATCGCCTGAATTACATACAGTCTACTGAGAGATCATGTGTCCCGTTAAGAGGACAACAAGTAATGCCTCTCGGAAATATTTCGGAATGGCGCTGTTTAAATTTAATGAGGATGTGCGGGAAGTCTATTTGCATCGTATCTGAATCCTTGTATGAAACGGTTTCCTTTGAATTTACACTCCGTAATGGCTGTTTCTCACAAACTGGAAGATATGCAAGTGAAAGGTAACAAGCTGGCAGAAGAAGCATGAAAGTTAGGACATCACTTCAGGTGAACATAGAGTAAACAGAGGTGATGAAGATTCCTGGCCAACACCAACAGCAACAACAGCAACAGACATCAATCAGCCATCATAAATGGGAGGAACCTGAGAGAAACAACCTCCTTCACCTACCTACGTACCTACCGACATGGGAAGCATCGTTTCAACTACAGGCGGAAGGAACTCATGAGGTTATCAAAGCAGCGAGGATAGAGAAAGCAAGACAAGCTTTCATTATTCTCACCAAGTCTGTGTGCAGGAGGTCAACAGCACTAAGCATGAAAGTAAAAATAAGATCCGGATTTTCAACTCCAATGTGAAGCCAGTGCTACTTATCACACAGATCAGAGACTTGGCCAGTGTGTCATAAAGAACATCTCAAACAAGCTGCACACCTTCATTAACAGTTGTCTTCGCTCAATACTCAAGATCCGATGGCCGTTCAGAAAAGATCACCAACAGGGAGGGATCTCTGGCAATGAGTGAACCAATCCAGCAAGAACCGATTGTGAAACAAATAGGCAGGAAGAAATGGAGTAAGGTGGATTGGCTGGCGATACTCTGAGGAAACCATCAAACGACATCACTAGACAAGCCATCGCTCGAGTGGAAGCCAACTGAATGGGAAGCGGCGAGTTGGTCGTCAGTAAGGGTGACTTGGAGGAAGTCATGTGAAGAGGAGATGAAAGCATGTGGGCAGACTTGGAGCGGGGTGAAAAAGTTGGCAGAAAACTGAAGGCAATTGAGGTGCGCAGCTGAATCTTTGTGTTCCTTTAGGAATTAAAGGATATAATAATAAATAAGAATTATTATTCATGTATATGTTGAAAAATGTGCACAAAACGTTTTTGTGGACAGTCAGCAGATTTTTAGTTTTATCAAAGCAACAAAATATCAAATATATAACTCACTCTTTGAATTGTCAGATTGAGAGCCGTCTTCGTAGATGAAATCTGATTGAATGAAATGTCATGTACATAGAATCGATTAAATTTAGAAAGTTTTGTAAGCTCATGATTACCGACCGATAGCTGCTACCTTGACGTGGTGGTCGGGCTTGCACGTCGCGATGACCCAACAAGCTACACTGGCTGGAACAAATGTTCCTGCAGGTCCTAACATGCCAGGAAGGTTGTTAGGATAGGGATTAGACTAAAAGCAGTTGCCGGGATTGTGTAAGAATCTTTCTTACACTATGCTGGGGTCTGAGAGCGAAGTCGTATTGCTGGGAACAGGGGTGTAACATCAGTGAGGTGTTTCCCTCAGATGACCAGAATGCCAGGTAGCTATGATGTCTCTGCACTCTGAAGAGATGGGGTTAGAAATTGCCGAACTCGAAAATTGTACATTCCGACTTACTCCACCTACGGTGGTCCGTAACTGGCGGTAATTTTACTAATATGGAACCAATCCCAGAAACCAGTTCATAGAGGCCGTGTGTGATCGGCCACAAGCAGTTGTACCCTGAGCTCTGCGGTCAGCCAACACCAACACTATCTCTGTTTCAGATAAACACCTATAATGAATAATATCTCAGTATTGGGTAATGGAAGCTATGACATGTGTATGCATGGTGCACAGTAACAGCTATAATCAGACAAGAAGATATGAAATGATATTTAAGAATGTTTATCGCCAAGATGATCAGTTAATCTGATTGAACAACACTGAACAATCATAAAATAAACATTTCAGGTTTTTGTATTGTTCAGCTCTAATGCGGTGTTTGTAGTGGTAGTATGAGTAATCATGCAGAATACAAAAATTTTAGGATGGTGATAACGGCGTTCACAACCAAGATTGTCAGTTAATATCGTGTTTAACACTGTCTCTGTCACTTACAACACGAGGTGGCCAAATATGATATCGTTGAGTTCCTATACTTGGTTGTACAAGCATATATTATTTTGTACTGATTTCTGGTTCTACCTAATGAGATACAAGGAGAGAGTTGGGAATAGAGGGGATGGTGTTGGGTGTTGGAGTATAGTTTTAGACCATTTTTCGCATGTAGTATTCAGATGCCTTTCTACTAATGTAGTGACGAGCTGACTGAGTTTTACACCAACCACTAGTCCTACTAACTACTTTCAACATCCTTCTCAGGATGGTATAGTCCTTTTTCAGTAACCCAGGAAAGACTAACGGGGAGCAGTAAAGTAGAATAGGTAGGTCAATGAGAGTTGACAAATTGTGAAAGCAGAGGTTGGGTGATTCCAGTTAGTTTGAGTTTCTTAATGTAATGGGCTAGACGGAACACTTTCTTAGAAATCGTTTGGATATGAGATGTTCAAGTAAGGTCGGAAGATAGAACTAGTCCGGGGTATTTTGCATTAGACTTAGTTTCAATTTTAGTTTGTCTTGAATTGTTTCCATCTAGGTATTCCTAGTGTCTACAGTGACTGCTATTGTCATAATCAAGCTGTTAGAGTTTGGTGAACATTGAATAGTTTGTTTGTTCGAACTGGTGTCCATCGGCGGATGACAAGAAGGCTGTCATCGCTCAGTCACATACTAATTGGTTGGCAGTCAAATGGAGAAATACGATCAGAAGTATTGTTCTGTATATATTATGTAATATTATATTAACGTTTATTTACATACTTTGGTACTGATTAACCATCGCAAATCTATTTCGTTCTCCCTTGGAGAAAAAATATTATTCGTTTTGCCCAACCCTTTTATTTATTTTGTTCTGCGTCGGTTATAGTGCATACACATAATGTTCTGAGTTATTTAGTTCTTAGTCTTTTGAAACCAGCGATAAGTCAGCGACCTCTGAAATCCGAATGTTTGAGTCAACCGATTTCGTGGAATAAACCAGAAAAGCATTTGTCTAAACTCAAATTATACAGCGCACACTGCCTCTATAGCCATATTGATTGGTTTACGTGTATATAAACTGACAATGTCAAAACTAACCATGTTTTCTTCATTATCTAATTTTAAATTATCTAATCTGTGTGTGTTTTAGTTCATAAGAATTAGTTAGTCTAGATTTTGAGTGGCCTCTTTTAGGGGATTTATTGCCATGCCTAAATATCTATTAGATAATTCATAAGTAGGTGAATTTCTAAAATCAACTATAGGCCTTTTAGGGTATCCTGATTTATGAACTTTGACAACACCATACATCCTACTAGGGTTATTAGTTAGGTTAGGCCTAACATAAAAAAACCAGAGATAGAAGCCCTGAAACACGTTAAGAGCGACAAGGACATAGTAATCACAAAGTCAGACAAAGGAAATGCAACAGTAGTTTTAGACAAATCAGACTATTTGGACAAGGTAAATACTCACATACAAACAGGACCATTTGAGGAAATTAATAAATCAATAGACAAAGTTATGAATAAAGTTAAGAAATCCACAGCGGATCTTATACGCCGAATGAAGCCGTTTCTAGGTGACTCTAAGTGGTTTAATTTAATGCCAAAAACTAATAACCCTAGTAGGATGTATGGTGTTGTCAAAGTTCATAAATCAGGATACCCTAAAAGGCCTATAGTTGATTTTAGAAATTCACCTACTTATGAATTATCTAATAGATATTTAGGCATGGCAATAAATCCCCTAAAAGAGGCCACTCGACATCTAGATTAACTAATTCTTATGAACTAAAACATACAAATTAGATAATTTAAAATTAGATAATGAAGAAAATATGGTTACTTTTGACATTGTCAGTTTATATACACGTAAACCAATCAATATGGCTATAGAGGTAGTCAGAAACGAACTGATTTTTGATCAAGAACTCGAACCTAGGACAAAAGTGCCACTTGAAGACATAATGCTGGGAGTGCAGCTATGCCTGACTTCCACAGTATTTAAATTCCTACAAAGGGAAATATACAAACAAACTGAGGGAGTTGTCATGGGATCGCCAGTATCCCCGGTTGTAGCAGATATATTCATGAACAGGTAGAAAAGCATAGGGATTGAAACATTTACCTCCACTCCAAAAGCATGGTGGAGGTATGTACATGACACATTCACTGTACTTAGAGCACAGGATATGTAGATAGATTTTTTGAACATATCAACTGGCAGGTGGAGGCGATTCGATTCACTTATGAATTAAAACATCAGGAAGGGAAGCTCCCGATGTTAGATTGCAACGTAAAAAGGAGAGAAGATGGGAAGTTAAACACACACTGGTGTTTACAGGAAACCCACACATTCAAACAGATATTTGGACTTCCGATCATCCCACTCAATCTATGTCAGTAAAAATAAGATTGGTGAAATGTTTAACTAATAGAGCACAAAAACTAAGTAGTACGAAGGAAAATCTAAGACAGGAAGTGATACACATAAAAGAAGCCTTGAAACTTAACAATTAGTCAAGAAATATGTAAGTAAATTTAAAAATAAAATAAATAATGATAGTAGCGATAGTGATAATAATAATGATAACAATAACAGTGATAATAATAATATATATAATATAATAATATTAATGACGACACCAACAATACGGAATCTAAATCATCAATAGTAATTCCATACAATGAAGGAACCTCGGAAACCACCGTACACAGAATTCTTAACAAGGCAGGAATAAAAGTGACTGGCATTCAAACCACCCACAAGCTCAATTAGAAACAAACTTTGTTGGTTAAAGGATCAGTCCTGTTGAGCCTTTAAGGCAAAACAATCTAGTTTATTTAATACCCTGGCTTCAATTATTGTCAGGTCAAATGCATAGGTCAAACTAGTAGAACAGAGTCAGTCAGTCAGACTAGCAGAACATAAAATCCTAACAAAATCTAGATTGGTTGACCCGAATAAGATAAGAAATCTAGATAATAGTTCTGCTATAGCACTACACCACATGTGGTTACACACAACCATACAATAGGCTGTATGGGATAGGATGACAGTTTTAAAATCTAATGTCACATGCTGGAAGGAGAGATTGATAACAGAAGCTTTGTTTATCGAATCAACTGCAAATCAGCCCGTGTAATAGGAATGATTCAACACCTGTCCACCAGATATCTGGAAAACTTTACTACCCCTACGACGACAAATAGGAGAGGACAAAGAAAACTATAAAACTCAAGTTTCAAAGTCGTGTGATTATAACTGATGAAATGATTATGAACAATAATGGATTGTGTTCGAAACATCATCCAGTAAATAAGAATATGGAATGTCAAATTCTACTTGAAACATTTATATAATCACATCATATATTGTACACTTACATGCTTCACTTGGCTTGATGAATATTGTAAGCGCTTGAACGATCAACAAGAGTACACAGAACTTCAATTTCATCATCATCACCATCTTATGTACCGTAAATGTGTGAGCAAATAAAAACCACAAATCTTTATATAGGATATTCACTCAGCAAATTTACACATGCCACGTGTAAGACCATTATAAACGCTTTCCTAAAATAGTCCAAATTGTATTCCATTTCTTTCTGAGTGTGGTATGATAAATAATTAAACTTATAATCTTATAACTGTTTATGTTGTTTGTTGTTTGTTTTTTTTTGCTATTTATGAGGTCACGGGAATTAAAGAACATTAGCTTAAGAAAGAATAAGTGAAGTAATTACAATTATAATAATAATCATAATTTTTGCTTTATTCCAAAAACAGTACCAATGATACAGCAAGGAATTTTCAGCATTCAATACAATATTGCATCCAATTTACTCATAAACGACAAAAAGTATAATAAACATTACAGAATAATAATAGTAATAATAATAAAACGTTGTAATAGCAGCTATTTAGCAATTACAGTATGCGTGCGATAAGGAGAAAAATATGCATTAAGTATAAAATTATAGTAAAAATAGTAATAAAAACTAAACATAACATAACAAAGTTATAATTAAACGATAGAAAGGGTGACACCATAAAATTACAGAAAAATGACTGATGAGAAGGGTCGATTCACTTTGCCAATTACATAGTAACTTCTTATATGTTTCACGTCTAAGAGTGCCGAACAACATACTTCCAATTCAACGGTCAAATATATGAACAAGTCAAAGGAACACCCATGTGATGGATCGCCAATATCAGGTTCGATTGCAGAAGCAGTGATGCAAAGACTCGAAAACATAATTCTACCAAAGATCAAACGCAAGATTTGGATACGTTACGTAGACGATACATTTGTAATAATCAAAAGAAACGAGTTATATAAAACTCACAACTTAATATACAACGTCTTCAATGACATCAAATTCACAAGAGAAGAGGAATCCGAGATCCGAATTCCATTTTTGATCGTCTTAGCCAAGCGAACAACTACAGGAGAATTAGAAACTCAAGTTCATTAGAAATCAACTCACACAGATCAAATCCTGAATTACAACAGCAACAATCCAATAACACACAAAACAAATTGCATACAAACACTATTCAAGAGGGCCAGCAAAGACCCATTGCAGCACTCTCACCTTAAGGAATATTGAAGAAAAGTATCTTATGGACGTCTTCCAAAAGAATGGATATCCACGGAATTTCATCAAAAGACATATAACCCCAAGCCAACTTATCAAACCGAAAGTCCCCGAGGAAAGCACAGAGAAAATCACCTTACTATAAATAAAGGATATCTCAGAAATCATTACAAGACTATTCAAACCTTTAGGAATTGACATCTCACACAAACCAACAAGATCACTTCACTCAGCTAGCCCTATATCAACCAAAAGATTCAACAACGAAAGAAGATAAAACCAACATCATCTACAAAATAAATTGTAACAAATGCGAAAAACACTGCATTGACCAAAGTGGACGTCCTCTCCATCTTTGTATCCATGATCATAAACTAGCCGTCAAAACACATAATAACATCCACTCCCTCATATCACTACATACAGACAACCACAGACATCAGTTCCATTTGGGAAAACCAACGTTGAAATATTAGACAGAGGAAACAACAAGAAGTTGGCCTGACATTCCAGTTAATCATCAATCAATAGACACATCGAGATAGACAAAATATATCAACCGATAAGAAGGAAACCTCACACACAAAGGGTCAAAGTTCAAGTCAAAGAAAAAATCACTTTCAATAAACGTTGAAGACTAGAAGGTGTGAAAACGCACAAAACCAACCAATCACGAAGGTGAAGGTCACCAGTAGAGATAACTAATAAACTCGTGAAGAAATCTGAAAGCTCACTTCAACGAATTGAAGTATGCGCTGAAGATATCACCTATTAGGGTGATGAAAGCCTCGCGAATCAACTATCCAACTCAGAGAACACAACCATATCAATAACAGTGTCTCCATCACATAAAATACGGGCTAAATAGGATATTGAAGAATCTGTGTACTTAGTGGTGTTAGCATATAACTTCTTATACTGACTTCTCGTCCTACCTGATGGGATGCGAGGGGATAGTTGTGAATTAAGTGGCGGGTACAGGGTGCGTATTCCTGTAATCTAGCTACTCGGAGGCCAGAGTGCGGAATTTCGTGTGACGGGCAGTTCTAGCATATGGCCGCTCATGTTGATTGGGCGTCTACGCTAAGCACGGTGCCGATATGGATGACCTGTCGAAGGACGGGTTGTTCAGGTCGACTAAGGAGGGGTGCACCGGTCCAGGGGGAAACCCAGCAGACGAAAGTTCCCACGCGGTGCGGTAGCGGGATAGTGCCTGTGAATGGAGGCCATATGACAGCCCGGTCCGCGCGTGGAGGCCGCCTCCTTCTTGCGTTGGTGGCACAGCGGTCAGGACGCTCGTCGACTATTCACACGGTTCGGGGTTCGATCGCTGGCCGACGCACTCCTTTACGTCGCTAAGCTAGAAATAAGAAGATGGTAAGAAGGAAAGGTTGTGCATGAGGTTGGCAACCCCATCCTGTAAAATTAAACACTCCTACAGAAACGTCAAGCCACTAGCTTGAGGCCCTATGCTCCACTGGGAACGTGAAGGAAACTGATGGCATATGCAACTAATCTCTGAAACATTGACATCAGCGTTAAAATTCTGATATTATTTGTTGTATTGACTGCCACAGACCTCCTCGCTGATTTCACAGTGAGATCTGATCCTAACTGTCTGTCTTTAACATCTTCATTAAACGATCCTGCCTAGGGTAGGTGAATGAATGCGACAATTTCCTCTAGATTTCTTCTGACGACTTCATTGGTTATCCGGTATTTTCATTACCTCAGTCTTTTTTGTGTTTACTTAGAATCCTTCCTGCCTTTTCTTCCTCTCCTGGTAACTTGCTAATTTTCATTTAATTGAACTTTTTGATTTTCCCCTCGATTGAGTGGACCGAAGTGCTCGGCCTTAGGTTGACATGTCGGCTTCTTGTGCAGATGCTCTTGTGGCTCTCGTGGCCCAAGTGGTCTAGTGGATAACGCTTTAGCGTTTGAAACTATAGGCACTGGGTTTGAGCCTCGGTGGAAACATCATCATTCACTGGGAAATGCAGGTACATCCAGCTGACGAGTCCCAAGTAGGGCGAAATGCGCATCCACTGCTAGTCAGCATGCATCAATTAAATTGCTAATTTTCACTTGGAAATCTTGAAGGGTGAAAATATCCACTGAGTCGGGAATGAAAATATAAAACGATTCAGTAAATACTTTTGCTTATCGATTGATTGGCGGCCTGCTTAAATCTTGGGCTACCAAAATTTCCATCCTACATATTGCATCTATTTCCTCGGATTTATTTTGTTTTAATCATTCAATTATGTATCCAAGTCGCATTACTTACTCTCGCGATTATTTAAAATGTTTTCAACCTGTTGATTTACGAGTATATAATAACGTTAAGAAAAAGCATCATGGAGGTTGGCAGAGATCATTAAAGTGTACTCCAATGCATCAGATGACTGTTCCTGTGATTATGAGCACAAATTGCAGGTCATTATCGAACAAGATTAACTACTTGCATTCTCTATTATACTCAAATGTATATTGTAATACTGGTGTAATCACTCTTCAAGAGACTTGGCTCCATGATTCATATGACGATAATTTAGTCTCCTTAAGTGGGTTCACAATCTACAGACAAGACCGATGCAGCTCAAAGAAGAAGAGAGGTGGTGGTGTTGCCACTTTTATTAATTCTCAGTGGTCTACTGCCAACAACGTCTGCTTCAAATTCTCAAATGACAATATTGACTGTATAACTGTAAAATGTCGACCTAAACACTTACCTAAGTATAGCTTCATTTTTGTCACAAATATCTATATCACACCTTGTTGCAGTCCCTCAGAACTATCTATCTTCGCTGATGAATTCACTATTTTTGCTGCTGCTTCGTTTGGTAACTCCTTATCTATAGTGACCGGCGACTTCAACTCCAGCGACTGCAGTTTTATTACATTGCTGGGCCATGCAAATGTTGTTAATTTCCCAACTCGACAAAATACTTCACTTGATTTAGTATTTATAAATGATTCTGGAATATACGAAGCTCGTAAAAGAGCCCCACTCTTCAATTCTGATCATTGTATTGTACGAGTCTTACCCAAAATTTACGGAAAGTTACACAGTAAAGCCCTCTCAAACTTGTCTAAGAAAGTTGTTCACAGATGCTACTCAAATGAGAACGTACATCATCTTAGAAACATGCTCAGTGACACAAGATGGGATTTGTTTAATGATGATTCACTTGATGACAATATCTCTAATATTACATCCTATCTGAAATTCTGTTTTGAAATCTGTTGTCCAAAAGAAACACTATTCGTCAAATTTGACCGTTTCTCCTCGCCTCAACTTAAAAAGCTTCGTAGAGAGAAGGAAAAACTGTATAAGATCAAAGATAAAATTGGTGTAAAAAGAACTAACTTCTTAATTAAGTCTGAAATGCAGAGGTTGAATGTAATATATAACCAGAAATTCATATCCTGCAAAAATCCTTCTAATATGTGGAAACTATTTAAGGAAATCACTGGTGGTAAGCAGATAAACAATATTCCATATTCTTTTGATGTATGTACTCTTAACAAATCTTTTATTTACTCTCCCTCAAATGCCATGCTTCCCAGCATCACTTGTGTTAATAATAGCCCCTTTCCAGGTTTTAACACAAATGATGTTCAAAAGTGCCTCAAGTCTCTAAACCCTTCCCAGAGCTTAGGTCCCGATTATGTACCTAGTATTATTTTTAAAAAATGTTCTGATATTCTGTGTCACCCTCTTACTGATCTATTTAACAAATCTTTTTCCGATAATATTGTGCCTGCCGTTTGGAAGGACATTAAAGTTGTACCCATACCTAAATCTTCTACTGGAGCATGTGTCAAATTTAGACCCATTGCTATTACCTCTCCTTTTTTGAAAACTATGGAGA